GACATATAAGTTTTAACTGAATGCTTCTAGAAGCATTTCATCTATATGCAAATATTGGCAAGCAAGTTAGCCATGGGAACGTTCACGCCTGGGACTAAACGAAACGATCACGGAATGGCTTGAAATTAATAAATTGGACACGACTAGGAATGGAGATAGTAATAGAACTATTAAATGTTTTGTACTTGTAATAATATACTGAAGAAAGAGACGTGTGAAATATAAACATTAATTTATAGACATAACGGATATCCTATTAAGATATTGAATAAGTACTATATTTGAAAAATTGGAAGAAGATTCTCTTAAATTCGTTAATTTTAAACAAGACTTGAAACTACTTTGACCCTCAGGTGATAATCAACAAATTTAGAGTTTTGTGTTTTGTGTTTAAGGTTTAAAAAATCGTTTTTCTTGTCTTCCAAAAGTCAAGAATATATCCCTAAACTTTCAGAAACAAATGCATGTATACGAGCGGAACGAAAACTTCGACGCGTGATTTCTCGGTTTTTCATTTTTTCCATTTTACCTAATTGGCGGGCAAGATAGAAAAAAACCTAAACATCCTATCTAAACGAGACAAAATTGACTATGTTCAGGATTAAATTCTCTTATAGTTGAACCTAAAAAGCCTTAACAAAAGTTTTAACTAACCCTCTTTTTAAACAATCTAATGTGAATTTTTTTTATCAAAATACATGATTTTCTATCTAGGGAATTTTTCATTTTTCCAGGATTTTTTAGATTAACTAGAATCTATACTATTGAAAATATAGATTTTTGTTTTTTTGGTTTCGGATGGAAATTGTGACCTGTATCTATCCAGTCAATCGACACATGCGCCCTCCCGGCGCCTCGGCAAAATGCTTGTACCCAGCAAATTATGACATATATTTGGATGAAAAAATTTGAGAAGAAACATGAAAGTTTCGTTTAAATAAATATTTATTTCCTTCCCTAATAATTCCCAAAAGCGATTTTTTGAAGCCTCTAAAGCAGGCTCTCCTTTCAACATAATTATGTTGAAATATTAAAATACTATAGAATCATATAATTTGTGAAACTTAGTTTCAATTTTATGGTAAAATCTTATTCGCACTATTAGGAAATTAATAATTGCACCGCTCATGCAGTTCGTTGAAGTCTCTGCATTACCAATAGACATCAAATTAACATGACCGTCTTCGCAATTTATATAATTATGCTTGTGCAAAACCTACTCATGATCACAACAATATTAAAAATAATTCATTTTTATGTATGCCGCAACAATTTTTATTATATGACCTGTAATGAATGGTTTGCAAGACAACGCTCCCACGAATGCGGTCGCGACATATTATTGCAATGCATGTACATCCTTTTAAAATGCTTTTTTGTTTCTATTTGTGTTTGCATTTTATTTAACAAAATGCAATTATTTATCAGACCACACAACGATATATATGGTGAATCTTTTTAGGACTTGGAGGGCGTATACGTATCATAAATCTACCATTTAGTAGATTTACAAGTCATTCCTAAACTCTCTCATTATGCTAATTCCAAACTAGCATAAGACTATATAAAAATTATATTGAATTATGTATCTCGCGATCTGATAAAATATAAGCTGCTTCTTCAAAAAACATGACTTTTTTTACCTAGTCTTGTTTTATATTTTGCTTTTTTGTTATTTTAAGGCACTTTAAAAAGTATATTGGTTATTATAAATTAAATTTTATGACGAGATCTGTCAAATTGTTTTTCTAACAAGTTCACGCCCGAGGCACCATGTTTGCTTTATTGTCGAGGATTCCTTTTGTATTCTGGGTGAGTTGGTTTAAAAGAGAGGCTTATGGTCCATTTACTAATTATAATTCTAGTTGTAAGGTAAAATATTCCAAAAACTGGTAAAGAACATAAAAATATTCAGTTAGTTAGAAGCAATATGCATATTCATATGTAGATTTAAAACTTGCAGAAATTGACTTCTATATCAAATAATAAGAACAAAAAGATTTTTGAGAATTTTGAAATTTAAAAAAAATGGCTATAATAATTTCGAAATTTTTGATACTTTTTTTTTCAAAGCAATCGTACTGCATGGCATCCATAGGAATGTTCACAAAAGTCATACTTATTATTAAAATCTTTATCAAATATCTGATAATTTGATGTGAAAATGTCTAATGGTCATTTTTGATCGCCAAATGTAATTTTTTTACTTTTTTCACTCGATCTCTGAAATCGCTAAACCTACCTTCGCAAAAATTTAAACGGTACTTCGTTTGTCAATACAAATTAATTGTTTTTTGAATTATTCAAATCGGTTAATCCGTGTTCCCGTAATCGTCGACAATAATTTGTATCCGCACACATACATCCAGTTTTTTTAAGGTATGCCAAAATGTTCAAAAACCCCTGAAACGTAAAGATATATAAAAATTTTCATTTTCGATTTTTTTGCGATTACTATAACTTACCCTACGGAAAGTTAAAAAAAAAGTTTGAAGTGATATATTTGTGCTGCTATTTTAATAAGACAGAATAAATAGTGAAAATGAAAAAATGAAAAAATTAAATAGATTTCTACCTGTTAGTAGAAAGTCATTAGTAGGACATTTAGATCATAGATAAACAAGCATAAATTTTGATTGGGGTTTTTATTAATTCTTCTTACAACTTTCTTGTTAGATTATTAACATGTTCAAAAACCTCACTCTGCCTAATTAGGCTTTATTTCTATTCAATTTCTTTTTTGATGACCGATATTGTCATTTTTCTTTTTTTCGTATCAATTGGAAATCAATTATATAACTTACTTCTAATTTTTATTCAAATTCAACTCAATTTTTCAAATTACATTTAATTTTAAATTATCTATTTGTAATTTACATAAGAGAACTACTTGTAAATTACTAGAGAATTTGTTTAAAATTTTAATATTTAGAAATTAATGTATGATTTTAAGGTCCCAAACCAGTATTATATGAATTTCTTATTTTCAAAATTATTTTTGTCTTTTATATTTTTTTTAACTGACTCCTCGTTTAATTCATCTTGTTCTATAATTGCCATCAGATGTGCTGTGTTGTCCGAATAAAAAATTGTAAATTAAAAGGCTGGAGATGACAGATTTATGCATATGCATCTAATCAATGGAGATCGCGTATTTTATTACGAACAAGTGTCGTTGATCGCCTAGTGTCAAATATATGCATCGATATACATTGCGAGTTGAGTTGTGTACAAGTGTTTATGACGTTGACCCAACATTGGATAACTGGTTACGATATCGTTCTTTATCTTATCACTTATTAAGTATTTCATTAATTTAAATAAACTCGTATACATTGAAATGCAATCACATATACACGCTTTAGACTTTCACACGGCTTAGGGGCCGTTCATTAACCACGTGATCGAATTTTAAGGATTTTTGTGCTTCTTTCTCCTCATTGGCAATACGTGGTGATATTTAAATCACATTTTTAGTACCTAGAAAAAATCGCACAATTTTTGAATTTTTGAAATTTATTATGAATATTTCTATTATTCAGGGAAAAAAATAAATATACTTGACATCTTACTAGAACTTTCCTCACTCACGTGATATTTTGTGATTTTTTATCAAACCCCTCTCTCTTCTTCTAAGTCTCGTGATAGATGAACGCATTTATAAATTGGAATAAGTGGAATTTATAAATTTTAATTACCATTATTTTATTTTTAGTTGTCTATTTTAATTTTATCCATTCCAATCTTTAATTTTATCCATATCCAATGGTCTGGAAGGCCTAGTTTCATTTGGAAAGATATCTTGGAATTATATTTCCATGTGAAAATGGTTATTACTACTACTTGATATAAGGTTATCTGTGACGGGAATCAAATCGGAACATATTTTGGATCTATATTTTCATATGAAAATGGTTATTACTACTACTTGATATAAAGTTTTCCTTAACGGGGATCAAATTCGAACCTGTATATTTTATTAATAGTATAAGATTATAATAACGTAATTATATAGTATAAAAATATACTTAATGGGTGTGAAATATATTTCTTTTAAATTTTTATCGAATCCAACAAATTAATAAATCCATTTCCCACTTATATTCTTATAGATATTTATGTAATCTAATTATCTGTTTACATTAATTTTAACAAATGTGCACAAAGAATTCGCGAATTAAATAATTGATACAGTTAAATAGTTTAATATTTAAAATTATAAAAGTATGTGATTGTTGTCTAATAAATATATCTCTTATTTAACACTCCATAGAATTCGTAAATTTTTTCCAATGGATTATATAGAACTATGGATTTAGATTTTATAGAATTAGAGATATAGACTTTGAGGCCTGATAGAGCTTCGACCATGCAACCACAAGATTCCGAGTTAAAATCCCGTGGAACGTTCTCTTAGATTTCAAATGGTAGTGATATTCATTTTACTTGATAACATAACAGTAAAATAAAATCATTAGAATAGAAAATAACATCAATTGTTTCTTTTTTGATAAAAATACATCCTGACTAGCATAGATTACCTTTTGGGTTGCTTTTTGAAGACCTAGTAAATAATAAAAATTAATCATTACAACAGTTTATTTATTGATAAATTATTGATATTTACTCAAAATCTATTGATTGATGCTAAAAAACAAACAACATAATTTTTTGTATCGGAAGTCGGTAATCGAAAACATATTTTGTATAAATCGGAATATGATGTAACGTTAATATCTTGATACTTACTTACTGAAATCTGTCAAAACAATTACTGATTGTCCTATGTGTGACAGATTATAATTAAAAAAAAAAACAAAAAAAAACTGATTTACCAAAAAATTTCGAAGCAGATGATGTTTTTTCAGAAAGATCTTGTTGAGTCAGTGTAATAAATTATTACAAAATCTGTTAACCCTTGTTTTTGACAAATACATATATTTGTTAATATATTAGTATTACCATTATAAGCCAAAGTATCCTATATAATATTCATCCAGGTTCTGTTGTTCGCAGCGATCCTGCAGAGGACAACTATCAGTGTTGGCCAGATACGTATTCAGGCAGTGGCCACCTGCCTCTTCCTTTGCATGGACTCATGTGGTCTTCTTTATGGATCGGTGAGTAAAGTTATAAATATATTTTTATTAATTATAGATATAATCGTAATAATTTATATAGTCATCACTAAATCGAAGAAACACGATATATAATTTATAAAAATTATCAAGATTATTAGCAGTATAAGATGTTAATATTTAAGATCAACAATGATCATTCAGTTTTCATGAATATATTATAAGATATCCAATAAAACAATACTGTACAGACAATAAATTATCATTGTACTCGTTTGTTTAATTTTCGTAGACTGCAAATGATTTAAATAATAATTGATCTTTTCAGTTAAAGGTACATGTTAAACAATAATAACTAGTTTTTTATGTTGTTCTTTATACGAATGCACCATGCTAATTATAAATAATATTTTATGAACACTCAGACATAAAACATCGAAAATAAAAAAATAAAAAATATTTGCCTTCGTGTTCGCTCTACTGTGAACAAATCCAATGCGATAATCCAATGGAATAAGTTTTGGTATTGTCATGCCCTTACTATTGTCTTGGCATTTTTAAATATAATGAATATTAATATTATCAAAGGATTTTAATATAAAAGAGAAATCGCAATTGATGGTAGGATATTGAATGCTAAACTTACTATTGATTATATCGTTATGACTATGAGCAATTTTCTGTTCTGAGAAATGGTCAATAGTATTGTTTAGATTAATCTGGGCGAATAATCGGAACTAAATTTCAATAGTATCATTCTTTTATACTGTCTTTCAATTTATTGTACAGATTTAACTTTTTTACAAATATGAAGATCCTTCACTTGTGAAGCATAATTTAAACATGCTTGCAATCAGTAGCCAAATTTGACATTTTATACTAAATTTGAATTCATATATTTGAAAAGTTTGCCATTTTATAGTCATGAAACGCAATACTATGACATATGGTCAATATTTCAGAAATTAGACAATTTCAAGATGGTTTACTATTGTAATGCTATTTCTGGACAAGTTTTTATCGTATTTTTTGTTATTTATTCAATGTTATACAATTATAGTTATTAACAGAACTCCATAAGTGATAGTATAAAAGCTTGCATTTTTTTTTATTTTTATTTCTTTTATTAATAACAGTCAGAACATTAATTATATTCTCTTAAATGGTATTATATTATAGATAGTAGTTACCCCAGTGGGTAATTAACTAATTACTATTAGATACAATTTAGTGGATTACAATTAGATACAATTTAGTGAATCATAAGGTACCGCCATGATTATAATGATCTTCATCTAATTCTCTATTATTTGGCAGAAATGACAGGATTTTTTAAACAAAAATATACGTTTGCTCTTCAATGCAAATCAGTATTAGATGCTCTTCAATGAAAATCAGTAAAGGTACCGCGATGATTAAAAATCTTCATCTAATTCTCTATATTCTTGGCATAATTGACAGGTTTCTTTATAACAAAATTATAAGTTTGCTCTTCAATGCCAGATGTATCCAAATGTGATTAGGATTTTATCTCATGATAATAATCATGTAAACTTGATAATAATCAAGCTACCTTGTAATTTTGTTACAAAAAAAAAATTGTCAAATGGGCCAAAAAATTAGAGAATTAGATAAAGATCATAAATCGTCGCAGTACCTTACACCAGAATTAGGAAGACCTAAAAACATATAGCATATTAACTTGATCCACTAAATTGTATCTAATAGTAATTACCCACTGGTGTGACTACTATCCATAATTATATTTATTTAATGTAAATCAAAATAACCATAGAATGTAATTAATGTTTTGATTGGTATTAATTTAAACAATAAAAATAAAAAATATAAAGTTTAAACAAGCTTCTATACTTTATCTCATAGAGTTTTGTTAATAACCTAATAAATTACAAAAAAATCCTATAATAAACGTGTTCATAATATAGCATATCCAAAATAGTAAACCTTTTTGAAATTGCCTTTCTGAAATTTTGATCATATATCATAGTATTGCGTTTCATGACTATAAAAATGATATTCATCCAAGCCTGAATCCAGAATTCTGATATCATGATAATAATATCAGTTATAAGAACAATATCACTATGTCAATGAATTATAAAAATTGTTCAAAATAACAAAAACTGTGAAGTAAATACTAGAAGAATAAATACTGGAAATGTCAAGATTTCATTGTATCAACATTATCTTCTACTTAACAGCTATCTAAAATAGTCTAAAATAACTCTATTCGTGTAAAATCCATAGATTATCTTGCCAGCATAGTAGTGCGGTAGGTAATGTTCAAAGGACAAAATCCCTTATTCCCTGTCGGCTGTCGCAACCGTTCGCCTCGGGTTGACTTAAGTCAACCTACAGATGGCAATCTCCAGGGCAAAGCGAGGATCTTCTTCAATCGATCACCTTTACCATTACCATTCGTTGTTTTTATTCCTGTGTAACCCTTGTTCATCAGGTTCGTTAGTGTAATCTTCGATTTCATCAGCTGCCCACACGTTTATGATGCGGCAGATCACGAATATTTAATCCAATAAATATTTTCTTTTCTCTAAGATGATATTTCATTATTCATCTTACCTTACTGGGACAATTGATCATTTTAATTGGGATTAATTGGGCTGTTAGGCGTGCTGTGCGATGGCATAACACTCTTAAATACCATTTGATGAGATTTGATCTCGAATTAATTCTGATCTCGAATTTTATCACTTACACGAAGATGTTTTAAAAATCTTTTTATATGCCTCTTAAATTGAGATTTATTTTTGGGCATTAGTTTTTATTAGTTAATACAAACTTTTAGGAGAATTTTGTTCCAGAAATAATTGCATTTAGAATAAATTAATAAAGGAACACAAATATATTTATAATTATCAATGAATTGTGGTTAAATTTTAGTCGAAACTAGTGGGGAATGTTGCCTTAAGGCAAATTGCTGCAACTTCCCGAACATTAATTAAACATTCGCGAAATAAAAATAATTAATCATAAATAAAAATTTATTAATGAGTATTAACAATTGTTTTAAATATTTTAAAATAATTATTATAAATACTATAAAATTCATCATCGTATTATATAAATATATTATAATATAAGTGCTTATATTAGGGCAAGGACTTTTATCTACAAGAACAAAATCAAGAAACATCGTCGACACAAGCAATATGCTTTTTGAATAACTCTAATCGGTTGCGCGATTCTCCCACAACTACTCCCTTTTTACTTTTTGCTCACTTTCACTTCGCAAAAATGTAATCTATTATTTACTTTTGCCAAAATATTATTGCTCCAAAAGATAAAAATATATAAAAATATTTATTTTCGATTTTTTGCGATTACTATAACTAACTCTACGGAAAGTTAAAAAACACAAGATGAAGAACAAGAAATAAAGAACAATTTATATTTTAGCTGCTTTAGGAAATATTTCATTTATAGTAGATCGAAACTATAAAGATCGAAACTATAAAGTATAAAGTGTTAAGTAAGGCTAATCTTCAATTACCATCAAAATATACCAATATTATTTTAATTTTGACCTTTTTCACGTAATTTTATTCTAAGAAATGAAATACTCTATCTTTGAATAATTTGAATGTATGAGAAAAATATTTCAGAGATTCTTGTGACTATATTTTAATTTTTAATAAACATAGCTAATTGCGTTAAATTATTAAGTTTCAGTAGGTACTCATCATAGATAAATAAGGAACAGAAGAAAATTTATAAGAGTTTTGAAAATAAACTAAATCATTGGTATAAATAATTCATTATATATTATAAAAACAATTATTATTATTCAAATAGACAATTAGAATACATCGTTTTTCTATGCTTATATGTATAATATTTTTATTTATATTTCTCGTACTGTTAGAACATAACAGCAATAGCATTTAGCAAACATTGATGTACATTTGACAATGCAAGTTTTGATTTAATTCATATTGGATTCATTCACATTACAGACTGTTTACTACGCAAACTGATCCCACTAATCAAAATTATCTATTTTATTACAATCTATGAACTGAACTATAAATACAGATTTAATGGTTCGACCTCGACAGTAAGTCTTCTGATAATGAAACGAAGCACATACATTGTATGGCATATATTAGTATTTTGGACGCCATCGGTTTCCTATGGAAATCAATTTTAAAATCGACCTATATTACAATAAGCAGGAATCAGAGGTCAATAGACATTTGATTCTGCTCGGAATTCTCTAGATTGGATTAATAAACGATTACTAATGATGCATTTTATGTGCGCGTAATAAAAATTTACAAGTTTAAAACGGTCTTATAAATATTCGTGTGAGGCCTTTTGGTCCCTAAAAAAGGGGGCCCTAAGGCAACTTTCTTTAATTGTGTCTTAAAATGATTATTGAATTAATTTTATTTGCTAATGGATTTTTGAAACTAAGACATAAAACAACATTTTAATGGATTTCACAAAGTCTAGTGAATTTAATGATTGATTTATGGAAAAATACAGTGTTTATTACGCAAAATACTTAAACAAACTAAGGTGCTTTTTTTATTGCACTTACTTTTTTCATCGTATCTCAAGAAGCGCTGAACCTTTGTTCATAAAAATTTAAGGAGTTTTTTATTTTGTCAATATAAGTAAAATGATTTTTAAATAAATCAAACTGGGCACTCTGTTCTATCAAAAACTGAAATACCATTTTTAGCACTTACCCTACAGAAAGTTAAAAAAATCTTGTTTTGCATTTATGATACAAAATCTAATTATGAACTGACTAATTTAATGCAATTATGAATATAGCCTATTTCATTCAAATAACTTACTGAAGATGTCTTTGGCTGGAACGAGGTAATAAATCATTTTGCTAGCGGCTCCGATCTATCACAATTATGTTATTAATTGTATCTACATGAACTAGAATAAATGAGCCTTTTGAATATATATTTGAAATTTATGCACTTTAAATGGCTTTGGATTTGATTTATTATTCCCAGCAGCATTTTGCTAACTGCAGAAAACAATGA